GTTCCAGGCATGGTGGGCCTGCTTGCAGTTGACACATTTAGGTATTACCCCGCTACCCCCACCCTGTTTAAGCTTGTCCAGACACTGCTTGGTGTCGTGAGAGCCACTGCAACACCCACACCTAATTGGGCGATCACATTGCCACGTTCTGTGATCCCACCGTTGACAGTTGCCACACAAGGACGGACTGCCAATATACCTCTCCACTTTGCACGCCCTCATGCCTGGTATTTTAATGACTTGGGGCAGCTCTCCCTTCCACATAGCAATTGCTTGATTTTTGGGCAGTCCCCCTGGTCCGGTGTTGCGCTCGACCTTCAATCTTCAAGCTTCAATCAATGTGCACGGAGTTCTTGCCTACCGGAGACCACGAGCCAGAACCTGGCCCCCTCAAGAGAGGCACGAGGAGCAATGGCCTATAGAAACCCGGTGGTTGGGAGCATTCTGTGTCTGCCATCGACTGGATCTGGCACCTAGAAAGATAGGTGCCCCAAAACAAATCCCTATTCTGGTGAGACTATTGCTACTAAAAGCTGAACGAGTGGACAGAACTCCCCAAACAAAAATTAGCAAACGAGCATGACGTCATCATGTCAATGCGCCGCTGTCTGCGCAACCCCCCCCCCATCCCCGGGATAGGGAAGGGGGAGCCCCAGACCCCCACGCTGGCGATCCACCCTTCAGTTCTCAGGCTGATGTGTTACTGACATGGTCTTGTGCCTCTGGCTCCTGCGATTGGTGTCAGATTCTAGTGGCGTGGACTGTTGCTACTGGTGGTTTGCGAGCCAGGAGTAATATTCTTCGGTACTCGGGCTGCATGCGCCTAGGGCAACCTTCCCTAGGTGCCTTGTAAGTACTACCCTTGGCCCACCTTCCACAAGTCACCTCAGGATCTACCCCTGCTCTGTCCTTTACTGCTCAGTACTTGGCTGCCCTTGGAGTCAACTGGGGTCTTTGTTGCCCGTGTTTGCCTCTGGGGTAGGGGGTAGTTTTCGTCACTGGTAGGGGCGCAGGGTACTGCACAGCTAGTTTTCACCTCTTACAGTGGCCGGCTCTGTTCGACCTGGGTACGTTGTCCTCTTGCGGGGTTTTGCTTTTTTTTCTGCCTGGTGAGGGTGTCTGCCTTGGTGGGTGCCCCCTTCTGTGTTGGGATGTATATATCTATAATTATATCTATTCTCGGTTTTTGTGTGGTTGGTGGTAACCCTTGCTAGGCCCTTGTGAGTGGACACATCCCAGGGGTTCAGCTTTTAGAAGATTGTTTGATAGTCTTGGGCGCTGGTTCGCAGTACCCTGCCTAGGCTTCCCTTAGCGTGTTAACAAGGCTAAGGGCCCTGGGAAACCCGGCGGGGGCTCCGTGGTCTGGAGGATGTGACCCTTGAGTCCCCTCTTGCTTCTTGTGAGTCAGAAGGTTGCTCCTTCCCTATGTCTCTGGGGAACAATCGCTGGTTGTGCCTCCGCCATACTGCCTGTTGGGTCGGTGATTCTTTTGACTCGGAGTTGTGCGAAGTTTGTTGCCTGTACGTGCTCCAGTTCACCCAAGCTCTACTGATCATGATATGAGGGTGTAGGCAGCTGCTGCATTGCATGCTAGGTTTAGGTTACTGCAACGTACTAGGTTAGTTGCTTCCCCGGATGTCCCGAGACTGCCCTGAGTTTGGGTGCTCGTAAGGTGTGTCGTCCCTTTCACGGGGTGGGGGGAGGGGCTGGGGGGTGGGCCGCCTCTCCTGCTCTCTGTCGTCTCGGAGTGGGTTTGCTTGGGCGTGGTTGAAATGTCCGTGTCTCTCGGGTGGATCTCCCGCCTGTTTCCGGTCCCAAAACAGGACTGCGTGGACTTCTGAACCCGTGGGTTTATTGCCCCTTCTTTTGAATGACTACTCTGTCCCAGGTCCATCATCTGTTGGAGCCAGGCACTTGGATTGTGTCCCTATACCTCCAGGATGCGTATTGGCACGTTCTGATTCATCCGCGGTTCAGGGACTGGCTCGGTTTTGTGGTGGGACTTCAAGGTTACCACTTTCGTTGCCTTCCATTCGGCTTGTATCCGGTTCCTCGCATTTTCACTCGCCTTACTTTAGTCGTGGTGGCCCGCCAGCGCCTGCTAGATGTTCGGGTTCTGGCCTACCTCGACGACTGGCTGGTTTGGGTTCCCAGCCTTTCCGCGTGTCTGCTCGCCGGGGATTTGGTTCTTTTCCAGCTCGCTGGGTTTGGGTTCTTGGTTGACTGGCGGAAGTTCCATCTGGTTCCCTCTCAGGTTCAGTCTTCGCTGGGTCTTGTGTTGGATGCTCGGATCGCTTCCTTGTCTCCTCCTCCGGCGGCTCTGCTTCGTCTGCATTCCCGCCTTCGTCTGTTTCTGAGGGGCTCCCGGGTAATGCAGCGGTTGCTCAAGGGGTTTGTGCGGGAGCCTGAACTTTTCCATGATGGTCTACCCGCCGGGTCGGGTGTGGCTTCGTTGGCTGTTCTGGTTCCTTCAGGGATGTCACTTCTGCTTCTCTTGCGACCTCTGGGTTCGGCCTTCGAGGGCCTTGCATCGGTTGCTGTGTCACCGGCTTCCTCTTTGAGTTTTTCCGGGTTCAGTACCTTGGCGCCTAACTGAGCCCTCATTCGATGTGTTCACAGACTGGGGCTTTGTGACCAGTGCTCACCAGGCCAGCCAGGGGCGGTGGGTTCCGTAGCTGTGTGGATGTTGCTCCAGAGGATTTGGGTCTTTTGCAGATCGATAGTCCGACTTCGTTCGGACTGTTCCCTGGTGGTTCGTTGCCTGAACCGCGGCGGATCGATGCGGTCCTTAGCTCTTTGACGCTGGTCGCTTTGGGTGACCTGTCTGCTGAGTTCTCGGGTTCTGAGTGTTTATCTGTGTAATCACTCTATGCAAATAAAGGGACCTAGTCTATGGAACTCGCTCCCTAATGATTTGAAAAGCTGTCCAACTTTTGCCTTATTCAAAAATAAAACCAAAAAGTACCTAATTTCATCTTCATAGTTTTCTACCTAGTGCTTTAACTCGCACTGTACCTAGTGCTACCCAATCCCCCAATATTTGTACCTAAGCCATATAACTTTACCATTGTAATCTTAGATATCATCTGATATCATGGTTGTTGTATTGAGTGCATATTCTACTGCATTATTCCTTGAGATTATTCCTTAAAAAGATCCTCATATTGTGCTTCAGTGAACCAATGTATAATCCAGAAATGTTATCCTCATGTACCTAGTAATCCTTGTTTCATCATTGTGTATTATTCTAATCTGCTTTTGTGTCAAAATTTCTTCAATGTACTTGTAAAAAATTTTTGTAAATTTTACTTTAATTATTCTACTTAAAATTATCTGTACCTGTAAAGTTGTAAAGTACCTGTAAATTTTTTTTGTCAATTTTACTGTTAAATTATCTATAAATTATGTTAGTTTAAGGACTTGCCAGAAACACTATGCGTGGTATTGGCTTTATTAGAATGTAAATTCAACTTAATTTCTATGTTCTCTGTTAACCCCCAATGTACCTTCTTGTATATAAATAAATAAATAAATAGGTGTTTGTTTTGGGGCGCCTACCTTTCCGAGTGTCAGATCCGGTCGATGGCAGACGTAGAATGCTCCCAACCACACAGGGATTTCTATAGGCCATTGCTCCTCGTGCCTCTCTTGAGGGGGACCAGATTTTGGCTCTTGGTCCCTGGTAGGCAAGAACTTCGTGCACATTGCAGCCCGTCCTCCAAAAATGGGGAGGTAAATGTTACAGCCCCTAAGTGCAATTATGTACAATGTAAAACAGTCAGGAATTGTACTTATTTACACTTGGTATTAAATCATACTGTCAAATATATTGTGAATATTCAAGTTTACCTGAAAAGCTGAATAGAAAACCACGACCTAACCTAACAGTCTTAGTATTTGAAGATATGCATTTTATTGCTTCTTAATTACAATTAGTACTTAACCTATCTTGAGGTTATCTTGAGATGATTTCGGGGCTTTTTAGTGTCCCCGCGGCCCGGTCCTCGACCAGGCCTCCACCCCCAGGAAGCAGCCCGTGACAGCTGACTAACTCCCAGGTACCTATTTACTGCTAGGTAACGGGCATTCAGGGTGAAAGAAACTTTGCCCATTTGTTTCTGCCTCGTGCGGGAATCAAACCCGCGCCACAGAATTACGAGTCCTGCGCGCTATCCACCAGGCTACGAGGCCCCCCTATATACCTATACCTATAGCTATATTGATATTACAGTTTTATAAAACAAATACAACAAAACTAAAATATATCAATAAATTGTAAAGTAACTCAGGATATTTTGAAATTTTATATAAAATCTTTATTATTTAATAAAACTGAAAAATAAATTCTTGATACTTAAAACTTGTGTATAACGAACTGAACTTTAAAATTTCATCCTAAAATTCTGAGTGTCTTAACAGAAAACGAAGATAATTGAGTGTGGAGGTAATGTAACAGCCCCATAAGTGCAATTATGTACTATGTATGACAAGCAGGAAATGTACTTATTACACTTCGTATTAAAACGTACTGTCTATTCGGAGGATGGGTTGGCACGTTGACCGATGCCAGAAAGTTAAACATATCCGTTCAGCCTGGATAGCTCCGGGGAGCCTCCGGGACTCGCCCAGAAAATGGTGTTTCATTACATTCAACACTTTTTTTTCCTGAGTAGGAAATGCATTTTAACCATATTAAAAGGATTTTTAATTTTTTGGGGCACTCCTGGGGTGTTGCTGCATGATAAAATTAGTGGCACAGTGTAGGGGTTAAGGGGCTAAAACTGCAACTAATCTTGAGGGCCAGAGTTTCTTTTGTGTTTAGAGTTGGCAATTGCAATGTGATTTAGTAAATTCTTGGTAACTAATTATTTTCTAGGTTTAGAACCCTAATTAGCAATGAATGAGACTTGATTACTAGTTATCCAGGTGAAAAAGCTCATATGGCAGAATTTTGGTGTGGCTTGAATTGTCATGTAGTAACATTTATCTCCAACACACAGGGTCTTTACTGTTTGAGGTGTACAACCGTCAGTTCCTGATATTTGTGAGCCTCGTATGGGTAGCTGTTTCAGTGACCGTGCTGCCATTTACAGTACCAACAGCCCTCTGGTGGACGTTCACCACTACTGCTTCTTTAGGCATGGGTCTCGGATTCCTCTTTACAGGTTAGTGTTAATATTGAGTAAATCAATTTGAGCAATGAGGTGACTTGAACCGGTGATCAAGGAACTCCTAGCTTGCACACCCTACCCCTGTACCACGACTTAGTATATGTTATACAACCCGGGATTCCACCAAATCCACAGGAAGTCTGGAGACTTGCACTGGAGCCAGTCCAAGTTTGACATATAACCCCCAAGCACACTGGTGTAGGTAAAGTAGTTCATTTTAGAGACTTGTCTGCTGTCCACCTGGAGTTCTAGGGCTTCCCTGGGTGCCACTTTGGCATGAAGGTGTTAAAGTGATCCATGTCCCAGTCATAGCTTTCTTCAAGGAGTGCCGGACCAACTGGGCTGTGGTGGGTATGTGGACCTGCGGGTCGCTCCAAGCAACACCCTGTTGTACCAAGCTCTCACAAGTCAAGCCTGGCCTCGGGCCTGGCCTCGGGCCAGGCTTGGGGAGAAGAAGAATTCTCAGAACCCCATCAAGCAGGTATATATATTGCTAACCACCATATTGTGGATAATAACTGGAGCAGCCATATATATATATACAGAGAAAGCATACATATAGTACATATATACACACATACATTATGTGTGAGTATACTCATCCACGTATACTCAATAAAGTAAACTCCGCTATTAATGGACTACAATATTAATTCACCTAGCATAAGGGGTATGAGGGGGGGTATTGATCTACCTGTAATGGCCTGTAAACTCGTCATTCCTGTTCCAGTCAAGTGTTGTGGTTGGTAGCACGGACATCTTGTTGTCCTTTTGCTCTGCATTGATTATCTTTGCTCTTTCTTGTTAATTCACAGTAGTGGAGTCGAGCAAGGGTTCCAGACGCTTGTCACTCTGACACACTGCACTGCTGGTTTACTGACTGAAGTTTACTGAATGGTTTACTGAATGTAGCCTCCATTGCAGGGAGGTTACATTCTCACAGGTTTTTCCTTTCAGCTGGCAGAGCGTCAACCAAGACTACCTCCATTTGTCTCGGGTCACTGCGAACTCCAGGAGTGGCTTCAAGGTCACTTGACTGGCATTCCACAGCCCGTGTTCCCTGGTAGACAGGTAGATTACTGTCTCATAGGCCCACTTCTTGTGGCTCAATACTCTGAATTCCATCCAAACGGTCGCCTAATGCCTCTTCTGTCTTCGACCATGATTAATATCAGCTTTGGTGATCCCCTCAACAGGCAGAATTGTTTCCTACTAGAGAGACAAATGATACATCCATCCTTGACGGTGTTCCCGAGTGTAGTTACGCCATCCATTCCTGCTGCCTACGACTTGGCAGTGATGTCACGTCACATCCTGTGACATTGTGTTCTCATTGGCTACATACCCAGCGACCAGTAAATCATAATTTCCACTTTCCTGGAAGACTTGGTGTCTTTGCTTCCAGTTTGCTGGGTGCAGGAAATGCTCCCTCCTCCATGGGTGTGTCGGTAGCTATCTTGCCTCCCAAGTTGGGCTTTGTATCCATCTTCACCCAACTTGTAATCAACATAACATAAAATTCTGGGTTTATTCCTTACTTTAAATGTAGCTAAAATAAACTATGGGGCTTCTGGACTATTTACAAGGGGGAGTATGAGTCTTAATAGGCAGGAGAGGAGTGTATCTTGCTGGTACATGTAACATACCATTTAATTTAATTGGACCATCGGAGCCTCGAACTGCAGACCACATGCTTGGCTGGGATTGTGGTGGCCTATTGCTATTCCCTGGGCAGGATTTGGCTTTGGAGGCTGTTCTAGTTTCTCCAGGGTAGCCCTCTTAGTCACTGTCGTGACCACTGAGTGCAGACTTGGTTGGTCCTTTGCTGGTTGCAGTGTTATCAGTTTCCTCTTTGTTTTTTCAGGGTTTGGTTCCCTGATGCCATCCTCTGCATGGTACAGTTCGAGAATTTTTGACCACGTGGTATGTGTTGCAGTGTGTGTATGGATTCCTCCGGGCTCCGTTCTCTGGCTCCATTCGGACTGTTCTCCCGTAGTTAATTGTGTCAACTGGGGGCTTCTTATCTTGAGGTTATCTTGAGATGATTTCAGGGCTTTAGCATCCCCACGGCCCGGTCCTCGACCAGGCCTCCCTTATGTTACACTCCCCCCCTGGGAAGCAGCCTGTAGCAGCTGTCTAACTCCCAGGTACCTATTTACTGCTAGGTAACAGGGGTATCAGTGTGAAAGAAACATTTTGCCCATTTGTCTCCACCTCCACCGGGGATCGAACCCGGAACCTCAGGACTACGAATCCGAAGTGCTGTCCACCCAGCTGTCAGACGCCTTTGCTGCAGTCCTTGTCTCATTGGAGCTGAACACTTTGGGTAGCTCTTCTACTGGGTTCTTGGGGGTTAGTTCTCCACGCAGTTCATGTTCAGGTGGTTTCTGACATCCTTGTAGATTGTGTATCCTGGTTCCTCCCAGTCTTCATGGAATGGACCATTGATGCTACCTCCTTCCTGTGTCTTTGTGAGGCATTTAGGTGCCTGGACATAGACTGCTTCGCATCCGTGTGATCTCGGCACCTTCCCTTGTATGTTGTGATAGAATGGTCTCTCAAGGTTTTCCCACAGCTGACTTAAATGGCTTATTGCAGTGCACAAGGCTTATCTCTCTTTACCCCTGGATGGAAGACTGTCTTGTTGGATGTCCTTGGAATGCCCACATGCTCAGGAATACATGAATCATGTGGAGGCCGCTGTATGTCTTGGGAGAAACTGTGAGGTTTCATGGTGTTCATTTTGCCACTTCCTCTCTCCATTGCTGTTCTTTCCTCTCTCTTCATTGCTGTTCTTTCCTCTCTTCATTGCTGTTCTTCTGTCTCCGAGTGGTGGTACTCTCCTTTCTGTCTTGGCTTTTTCTTGATCAGCATCTCGTACCAAATACTGTTGCCTTGTATTGTGTGATGTTTGCAGAACTGCTGAAGCAGGCATTTGGGGTTATTGTTACTTTGGCCTTATTTTGTAAGCTGTCTGGTTTGTTGTTTCACCTCCAGCCTGCTCATATACCCCCTGACCCTTCCTGCTCTCTTGACTATGTTCTTTCTTTCCTTTCTTTTGCTCGGTTTACTGTTTTTGGTTTTTCTTGCTTCCGGTTGTCGGGTTGATGAGCTGTTGTGAATACTGACACCAGATTTATTGTGAATACAACTTTTACCCAGCTGTATTTAATTTAGTATCATGAAATATTTTTACTACAGTTACTGCCAGTCACAAGCAGTCAACTATTTACAGTCGGTCAGTCATTCACAGTTAGTCACAACCAGTCGTAGCTTTTATCCGTCTCCCCTTTCTTGTCTCTCCTCTTTCTGAAGGTTGCAGTGTCCCAAGTTCTGTCTGCAGTGGCCTTCTCCGGTTGGTCTATTGGTCATTCGAGTTTTCTACGAGTTCTGCCCCTGCTTAGAGGTCCTAGTCTGATATCTCTGCTTCCTGCTTGTGCACTGCTGGCTGCTCTCTGCTGCCTGCTGGCCTGCCCACCTGCCTGCCCTCCCATGTTTCCTGCCCTGCCACCTACCTTACTTCATCTGGCCTGCCTACTCTGCCTGCACGACAAGGAGAGGAGAGAGGTATCAAATAATATATACCAGTCCATGGAAGATGCTTGAAAGCCAGGTCCCAAATTTTCATAATAGAATAACAACATACTTTAGTGAAAGATACAGAAGGAAATGGAAAATAAAACCAGTGAGGATAAGAGGTGCCATAGGCACAGACACTGTCTGAACATCAGACGTTCACGGCTGTTCAGTACCCTCCCAGCAAGCATTAGAAATATTACTGGAACAAACGTAGATATCTTCAAGAAACATTTAGATAAGTTTTTGCAAGAAGTGCCAGACCAACCAGGCTGTGGTGGGTATGTGGGCCTGCAGGCTGCCCCAAGCAACAGCCTGTTGGACCAAGTTATCACAAGTCAAGTCTGGCCCCAGGCCGAGCTTGGGGTGTAGAAGAACTCCTGGATCCCTCTCCAGGTTTGTATGCTCATCTGCCCACCCACCTTCTCACTCTGTCACCCACCCACCCACCTGCTCTGCCACCCATTCATTCTGTTGCCTGCATGCTCAAATTCCCATTGACCCACCCACCTAATTCTAGTGCCCACCCTACCATCTGCCTGCCCAATGCTGCCTACTTCCCTAATCTGCCACCCACCTGCCTTTTCTGCCGCCCACCCACCTGCTCGCTCTGAGACCCATTGAGTACCCAAATGAGCCACAGGGATGTTAAAAAGAACTTTTTCAGTGTCAGAGTAGTTAACAGGTGGAATGCATTAGGCAGTGATGTGGTGGAGGCAGACTCCATACACAGTTTCAAATGTAGATATGATAGAGCCCAGTAGGCTCAGGAATCTGTTCGTCAGTTGATTGACGGTTGAGAGGCAGGACCAAAGAGCCGAAGCACAACTAGGCAAGTACCTGCTCGCTCTGCCACCCTCCCACCTGCCTGCTCTGCCACCCACCCACCTGCCTGCTCTGCCACCCACCCACCCACCTGCCTGCTCTGCCACTATTATGATGTTGTTGATGTTGGTCGTCCTTCCTTATGGACAACCCAACCCAAAACCCGGAGAGTGCTTATTTTGACCAGATCACCCTGGGCGCTTCTGGCACTTGGATAGGGGCTCAGCGTCACATATTTATGGGACGCGGCTCCAACACTAGCCTCGTTGTCATGTGCACACACCCACTCGAGCCACCGTGACTCCCCACTCTCTCCTTGTGTGGTATGACCACCTCAATCCCCTTTCTCTTATTATTATTCTGTTCTACCCTGTCCACAGCTGTGATTCTTTCTCTTTTCTACTTTCTGGTATACGTCGGCGTGGTCGAGGCGTCTTCCGGTTTACGTGGCGCCCTTCCCCGACTGCGAGGCTGTTGGGATCGACGCTTTTCGGCAGGACTGGTCGAGGTGGGGGTTCCTGTACCTCTTTGCCCTGGTTCAGCTGCTGCTCCAGGTCATGGCTCGCTTGGAGACTTACCAGGGTCGAGTGGCCCTCTTGGCCCCGTAGTGGCCAGCCCAGCCGTGGTTTCAGGCGCTGCTTGCCCGGTGTAAGAACCCAGAGGTTTTTCCGCGGCTCCGCCTCTTTCAGGAGATTGGGCCGGTCCGGCACGTGACCGGTTTGCTTTTCTCCGCGAGTCTTCGCGTTTGGTGTTTTTGACTCGTGTTATCACCATCTTCATGGTGAGCAGGTGACTTCCTTGTTGGTTTCTTACCTGCAAGTTTCCTCTCGGAGGCAGTAGGAAGTTTCCTGGCGGTCCTTCCGGTTCTTTTTGACCCTTTGTCGTTGTTCCTCGCTTTCGGTTCGGGTGGTGTTGTCCTTTCTCTCTTGGTTGTTTCAGAACCGTCAGCTGATGCCTAATACTGTCGCCTCGTATCGTGCGGCGCTGGCGGAGCCACTGCAGCTTGCTTTTGGTATTGATGTTACTTCTGCGCCGTTTTACAAGCTGTCTCGGGCGTTGTTTATCCTGCGGATTGCTCATGCGCCGCCTGAGCCGTCCTGGTCCTTGGACAGAGTGCTCTTCTGTCTTTCTTCTCCTCGGTTTGTTGTGGACCCTTCGGTTCAAGATTGTTTTGCTAAGGCTCTTTTTCTGTTGGCATTAGCCTCTGGGGGTCGCGTGGCAGAGCTTCATGCTCTTCTCCGGCGCAGAGGTTTTTCCTCCTTTGGTCGTGGTCTTCGGTATGTTTGTCTGCAGCCGTCTCCCTCTTTTCTGGCGAAGAATGAGACTGCTGCTTTTCGGAGGGGGTCCTTGAGTTGTGGATGCTTGGTTTGTCAGACCGGGGGTTCACCATGTGTTGTGTCCGGTTGCGGCCCTCCTCCGTTATCTGCGCGCCACGGCTTGTGTATCTGGGGACGCGCTTTGGGTTAATCCGGTTTCCCTTCTTCCCTGTTCGCGGGTTCGGGTCTCTCAGGTCGTCCGCAGGGTTATTAAATCCAGCCAGCCTGCGATCTATGCCCGTACCCATGACGTTCGCAAGTTTGCTGCTCTTGCTGCCATCTTAGGCAATATGTCTTGGGCTGACATTCGGGCACGGGGATTTTGGTGGTTGAACAGGTTCCTGGGTGCACGCTACCTTGTGAACGTTTCTGGGCCCAATCTCGCCTGTGTTGCTTCAGGTTGGTGGATGCAGCCCGTTGTCTCGTCTTCGTGTTGAGGAGCGGATCACCGACCGCTTCCCGGGCAAGTCCCCTTGGTTTTCTTTGGTAGTCTTTGGTGAGGTAGCTCCGGGGAGCCGTAGGGGCTCCCCCCCAGAAAACCAGCGTTGAATGTAATGAAACGCCATTTTCTGGGCGAGTCCCGGAGGCTCCCCGGCATCCCTCCCGCCCTCCGGTCGGCAGTTTTCTGCGATTTTTTATATCCAGCTTCTGAACTGGGACGTGGATTGCCGGCTCGGGGGTCTGGAATTCCCCCTTCCCCCTCCCGGGGAGGGGGGAGCTGCGCAGACATGCGGCGCGGTTCGTGTGACGTCATGCTTGGTTGCTCTTTTTCTTTTGGGGAGTTCTGTCCACTTGTTTGTCAATTTTCGTTGCTAACCAGAATAGGGGTTTGTTTTGTGGCACTTACCTTTCTCGGTGCCTGTCTTGGTCGATGGCAGATATAGAATGCTCCAAATCACATGTGCATTTCTATGGGCCATTGCTCCCCGTGCCTCTGTGAGGGGGCCAAGTTCTGGCTCGTGGTCCCCGGTAGGCTAGAACTCCACCCGCATCGACTGATGCAAAATAGTTCGGGTATCCATATCAGCAATGGATAGCTCTGGGGAGCTTCCGGAACTCACCCAGAAAATGGCGTTTCATTACATTCAACGCTGGTTTCTTACCATATCAAAGCATTGATGCATGCTACAGTACAATACAGTATATGAAAACCAGGTACAATATCATTATATCGCAGAATATGGCTATGTCCATTGAATTGTAATAATTGCTCTCTCTCTACAGGTGGCAATGTGTTGTGTCTTGATTTATGGGGACGCCAAGGAGGAGCTTCTCTTCAGGCTCTGCATTTTAGTTTTGCTGTTGGAGCTTTTATAGTTCCTCTTGTCATCCAGCCGTTCTTTGTTGGACTGCGCCAGATGCAGCTCCATAACCTGTCTGACATGCAAGATTTGGCCACCATTGATACAACAGAGATGTCGAGGTTTATTCGTGAGCTACAAGATGGTGAATCGACTGAATATAGGGGAGAAAATTCTTCTGTCTTTGATATTCAGTCCCTTACTAGTGAGGAAGTACTGCAGCTTACACTACCCCAAGTGAATATAACCCATGAAACCACTTTATTGAACAAAACTGGGAATTTGACTGGAACTACCACATCCTTGAATTATGATAGCGAGCCATCCTCATCCCTTGAGACAACACCAGCCATATCAATAACAATACCAGTTCCAAATATAACATCTACTGTTAAAACAAAAATGAAGCCCACTTACACAGATGCAAATAAACTAGAACCAGACACTGCTAAAGTTTGGAAGAAACCTGTAGCTAGTGAAACTAAAACCAAACCAAACATTCCTGATCCTGCAGAAAAGAAAAACCAGGCAGTAAATGTAGCTAGCACTAGTTCACCAGATATTAATCCTATTAAAACATCACAAGGGGAAGCAGGAGAAATAACACCAGTACCATTACTCATCACTCAACACGTCATGGGGACAGGAAGCCACGTACACAATACATCTCTCGACACTACAGTTGAAGGTGATGTGGCTTCAGAACGATTGAAAATGAACCAGACTCGTAATGCATCTCTCACAGCAATAGTAGAAGGTAACATGTCTACTGAGAATGTGTATTTATCGACTACTCTGCCTATTATTTCCATAAATGAGACTTCACAAAATGCTACCTCTACCATGACCACAACAAGGCCCCCAACTACAACCACCACAAAGCAAATAGTGGTGACCACTACCATTTCCCCAGTGACCATAACTACCACCACACCACCTACTACAACCACTACAGTTACATCTAGCACCACAGTTACAACAAAGATTACAACCTCTCTTCCTAAACTTCTCAATATGAACACGTATAAAATAGAATTCCCTGACAGTATGGAAGAACACCAGAAGCTATTAGATACTGATATGACAGGCAACACAGATTCCCGTATGTTCGGTGATTATAAGGGTGAAGAAAACTATTGGGGAAATATTAAAGATGCTGATGATACAAATGTCCCTGAACCTAAGGTGTTAGACCTAAGAGAACCAAGTAAAGATGAATTGGAAGATTTAGATCTTCAGGATGCTATCTCTGATAAGCCAAGTGATTCAGGTATTTCATCCCAAAATCATCTGTTGAAGCCTGGAACTTTCAGCAATGGAAGTGATGAAAATAGTCAGTTTCTTGACAACATGGCACAAAGGTTCAAAGATTATGGAGTAACTAAGGTTCATTTAGCATACATATGCATTGGAATTTTTATCATCCTTAATGCTCTAATCTCGGTTGTGATTTTGTGTCATAATCCAAGAGAAACAAGGTCAAAACAAGATGATGGCAACATGAGCAAGATGCAGAGAGGTCGGGTCGTTGTGTTTGCTGTTATCTTTTCAGTGTTTATGTTTATGGCTGAAGCTTTGCAAGGGGCTGTTCATCATTTATTGGCATCTTCCGCTACAGGTACTGGTCTTGATATTATCCAGGAAACGAAGATAGATGGTCAGGTTCTCTTTTGGGGACTTGTTTGCCTTGTTCGATTTCTTTGCATATTAGTATCTGGTTGTTTGAGGTTAAAACCTGGCAAACTTCTTGTGATTTCAGTTCTTTTATCGTTTATTGGATCCATATTCTTAGCAATAGGATCTTTTGGCAAAGAAGATTTCTTATGGGGTGGAGTTATATTTTTGGCTATTGGTTTGGCTCCAGTTTTACCAACAAGTTTGCTGTGGATGGCTCAGTACATGAGAGTAACTCACCGCATGTGTGCCCTCATGATAATAATGACTTCATTTGGAAATTCACTTACACATTCGCTTTTAACAAGGGTAGCAGGTAATTCTCACGCATATGCTTACATTCTTGTCACAATTAGCTTTGTTTCGCTTTTCTTTCTGCTTTTATCAATGTGTATTTTATACACTGCCCAGCGCAGCAAAACCCTTGGTATACCTGTTGGTTACCAGCTGGCTAGTCAGCACGAAGAGGAGGATAGTATTGAGCTGACTCCGTCTGGAAGTGCAGTTTTTACTCCTAATGATCCAAGGATTCGAGAAAATGGGGAGGCTGGCCAATCTTTGCTAATAGATTAGTTGTATTATGAGTAGGTGCTGCTTCTCATGTTGTATGGTAAAAGTATTGATGTGAAAGAGTGTATGTTATTGAATCTAGTCTTTATTTTCAGATATAATTTTTTAAATTGACAGACGTGTGTTAACAAATTTTTATGTTGTAATGTACTGTACACAAACTCGAAACCACAACACAAGAATTAATGTTTGATAGGAAATATTTTTAATACTGTAATGCTGTATATTTATATTTAAGCCATAGTAATAAGAAATATTTCCTTTAAAATAGCTTAATTATTCATTAATAATAAACAAAGGAGAATGTAATTTCTTAAGGTGGTGAAGTAGGAATTTGAATCTTACATTTGACTCACCATCTCATTACTGCAGAGTTAATAGTAGTCCAAACTGCTTCAGCGGATTCAGACGTTTGATTTAGTTTCAATGTTTTTAAATTTAAATATTAAAATTGTAGACATTCAAAACTGAAATATTTTTTAATACATTATTAAAATATTAAGGCAAATGAATATTTATTTTTAATGATACAATAAAGAAAATTCAATGTCTGTTCCTTTTCTCAACCACACAAATGCCCTCCACTGCCCATATATGCCTTGATGCACAGTGGTTATCTTAAGGTTATCTTGAGATGATTTCGGGGCTTTTTCTTTAGTGTCCCCGCGGCCCGGTCCTCGACCAGGCCTCCACCCCCAGGAAGCAGCCCGTGACAGCTGACTAACACCCAGGTACCTATTTTACTGCTAGGTAACAGGGGCATAGGGTGAAAGAAACTCTGCCCATTGTTTCTCGCCGGCGCCTGGGATCGAACCCGGGACCACAGGATCACAAGTCCAGTGTGCTGTTCGCTCGCCCGACCGGCTCCCCGAGTGGCTTTGGTTTATGTATTTTCTTACATTCCACACAATGCAGCTGCGTGTTTTATTGTTGTTTTTGTTGTGATTGTCCAATTTTTATGGTGAGTAATGAATGAACATGAAGAAATCTACAAGGGCCGTGACGAGGATTCGAACCTGCGTCCGGGAGCATCCCAGACACTGCCTTAATCGACTGAGCTACGACAGGGTTAAAAGGGTTGAAACCGAAGTTCTACTGAACTTACTGGATCCCGTAGCCTCTTTGAGGCACAAACCAGGCTTTTACACAACCCCCCCCCCCCCCCCCCCCCCCCTCCCCTCTCAGTCGATTAAGGCAGTGTCTGGGATGCTCCCGGACGCAGGTTCGAATCCTCGTCACGGCCCTTGTGGATTTGTTCATTTGATGCATCACGTTAGTGTGATGAATGAGCATCCTTATGCTTTTGTATATTTGATGTACATTTACACTAGAAATAAAATTAACATACATTTTCTGAGTTTTTTGCAATTATTTGCTCACTATAGTTAGGTAGATTCATGAACAGGTGGGCAGGATGACATGCACCAGTGCCACGTGGGTTTATAATAATAATAATAATTCATTGTGTCGGGGGACAGGAAGCCTGAATGTAGTCACACATTAGGCTTATATTGAGTCCCCCCCCCCAAGATTGAATTACTGACCCTACCCAGGATTCAACCCCACAACAAGCTGACTAACTCCTGAGTACCTACTCACTGCTAGGTGAACAAGTGCATTAGGTGAAAGGAAATGTGTCCAACCTTTTCTGTCCCACCTGGGATTCAATCCTGGAAGTCTCGATTGTGAATTTTCTCCCTCCCTAGTAAGTTCCCTTTGGTTGGTTAGCTTCAGGAAGCTATCAGGGGCGGCTCCCCAGAAACCCAGCATTGAATGCAATGTAACTGCTCTTTCTGGCAGAGCCCTGTTGGTTTCCTGACATCCGCCCCTCCCTTCAGGTTTGTGTTCGTCGGTGGGGTGTTCATAAGCTCCAGAACTGGCTGCTCAGGGGAAGTTGGTGCAGGCTGGGTTCGGGTTGCCTGATGTTGGTATTCAGAGTGAATGAGTTTTGAGCTGGTTTGTGTGAATCCCTTGTTCTGTGTGAATTGTTTGCAAATTCATTTGGCTGGTTCAAGGCTTCATTTTCTGTGAAATCTGTTTGTAAAGCTTCTCTGATTTAATGCTATCTGGGTAGGGTGGTGAATTGTCCCTCGCTCCTTGTGCCTCTGTGAGAGGGGGGTCCAGGTTTTCACTCTGGTTCCCAGTAGGCCAAACAGAACTTTTTCAATGGATGTAAACATTTAACATACAACAAATTCAACAAGGTAGCTTCAGGAACCCACTCGGGCTCCACCAGAAAGAGGGATTTCATTAAATTCAACACTGGGTTTTCCCCAGTGTCTCATGTGAACTTTATGACCCTGCAGGGGACATTTAAAATGATTACTGCTGTGTGGGCACCCATACAGTGGAACCTCCATTCAACAAACCTCAATTCAGCAAATCTCTGGTTGAAATGCACACTTTTCAGACCGGATTTACTCGCCCAATTCAACACAAGTGTTCGCTGATGCGAGGGATGTGCAGTTTTGTTCAGGATGTTGGCACGAAGTTCATAGACTGGTGGAAAGTTGTCCATCATATCATGGGTTTGAATTAAAGATTCTTTTAGTGAAATCAGCCCATAGAACATGGGGAAATATAAGGTTTGAATGATAACTCTCTTAATAGGGCTCCAATCATCTTTTTAGTGATTTTCATAGATGGACTTTTAATTAGAATAAAGAGCTGGAGGTCTTGGGAAAGCCATTGAGCATATTTAACCCTTGCACTGCTCACCTATTTTCGGCAAAAACGTCTTGGTGCAATTGTCAAGGACATATTTTTGTTATTTTTACAAATGTTCAGGTAAATTTAATGTCAATGTTTCCAAAGTCAACTATTTACATTTCAAAACACACATAGTAATGAAAACATTAAAAAACATTAAAATATAGCCAAATTAAAAAACAAAATGCACAACTCTCTGAGCGCCTAAAGGCGCTTTGCGCAGTGCAGTGGTTAAAACAAAATTGCATGGTTCTTTTGTATTTCCAGTTGCAGAAGTTTTTAATCGGTAAAATATGGACCCTTTTTCCCTTGAAAATGACATTTCAAGGCAAAGGCATGAAAAATATGCTAGATGTGGTTAAATTTCTTCAGACAGGTTCTCTTAGTTCTTCATATGATAGGTTGAAATTAAAATTTTGTTCGGCGAAACCAGTCTATAGAACGTGGGAAATATTCAGTTTTGAGTGGTAACTGTTAAAGTAGGTCCAATCAGGTTTTTAATGATTTTGGTAAATGGACTTAAAACTATAAGAAACAATTTGGGCCTTGGGAAAGCCATTGAGCATAATTAAACCATAATTCTGTGGTTCATTTTCATTTTGAGATTTTTCAGTTTTCATAAATATGGGCCCATTTTCCTCTGAAAATGAAGTTATGAGGCTAGGGTGTGGAAAATATGCTAGATGTGTTTAAATCTCACGACTGGTAAGTTCTTGGTAGTTGTCCTTCATTTTGACAGATTGAAATTATAATTTCACTTAGTGAAATCGTCCCATAGAGCATTGGGAAATATTAGTGTATGAATGATAACTGTCAATATGGTTCCAAATCATTTTTTTTAATGATTTTTATAAATCGATGCAACATTATAAGAAATAATTAGGGCATTTTATTGTGTAAAAAAAAAATGCAAATGCTTCCTAGAGTCATCTCCAGTTGCAATGAATTGAGGATAATAATTATAATAATTTATTTGCAAGAAGGTGCAATGGCTGGTGAGATTACATAAGACAGGTATTTTTACATTCATGCAAAGCCACTAACACAGAGCGTTTCGGGCAGGTCCTTAATCAAACACACCTGGTCCCATGTAGTTCGATGAATGGAAAATACACAGTATATTGTCCTGCCAACCTGTTCATAAATTGTATATATTTGAAGTAGCAGATAATTATCTTGGGGATCATCCAAATGTCTGTGCTTTAAAACTTTAATAGTGTAGTAATGTAATGTAGTACCTTTGTGCAAGTCAAAAGGCCTAGGCTTAACTGTAAATACTGTACTCATCAGGCTTGGCAAAATACTATTGATGTTGATGAATTCTAAGCTAATCTTGTTTGACTATTCAAATGAGCTTGCTTATTTTTGCCTGAAAGAGACAATACATAATTATATTGTACATGTGTGGCATTGCAGTACTGTATGTGATAACGAGTGGAGCTGCGTTCATTGTATCTTATCTGTATTTAATATACAGTACTGTATTGAAAATGATTTGTTAAACTGTGTTTATTCAGGTACTTGACAAGCTGTGTTTAGGTGGGGTTTTCATCTCGTGGGTCCACCTCTTAATTTTATAATTGATCATACAATAGAGTCGGGCATAATCAAGCAGATACTACACGTAACAAACACTTTTCGGCATAAAATTTGTTGCATCAGAACTTTTGGTTCTTACAACATTTTATACCCAATCGCATTTTTTTCGCTTGTGTAAATGGTAGAACATGCCTTTGTGCAAATTTTTATTCCAAATCCACTTAGTAAAAGATAAATTTGTAAACATTTTGTTTTAAATTTTAAAGTTTTTCTGGACTAAATTCCAGTCAAGCCAAGACTATGGACTTACTCCACTGGCTGTCTTCCAGTATTATTTCTAGTACTGTAACCAATTCCAATGAGCTTATGGCTGGAATTGAATCCTTTTGTTGCACTTGAACTTTTGGTAGAACATGATCTGTTGTAGTGGGACTCTAAAGTACCTTCTGTAGAAGCTATATGTGAAGCTCTTCTCAACACTAGTGTTTAACATGTGTGTGTTTTCAAATGCATGATTTTCAGTTTGTGAGAAAAAGAAATACTCATTAACATTAGGCGGTACACCAAATTTATTGATTGGCCGCATTTTGCTGCCTAAACAGCCCCACTCACTACTCAAGCTGTACCCATCTGTAATACTGTATGTGAATTCTTAGATTGAACACCACTTTTAAGAGGGATGTCAGGTTTAAATACAAAATGAACCACATTCCCAATGTTTCTTCAGGTTTTGCTTTGTAGCACCTATTTTATACAAGAAAATAACAAAACAATTCAGAAAGGCCCCATTTCATTATTTTGTTTGGAAAAAATTAAAAATGTGCCGAGAAGGGTGTTCACTGGCTAACCATACAGTCACCTGGGGCCAGATTCACGAAGCAGTTACGCAAGTACTTACGAACGTGTATATCTTTTTTTCAATCTTTGACGGCTTTGTTTACATTTATTAAACAGTTTACAAGCATGAAAACTTGCCAATCAACTGTTGTTATTGTTATAAACAGCTTCCTGGTGCTTCGGAGCTCATTAACTGTTTAATGATTGTAAACAAAGCCGCCAAAGATTGAGAAAAGATGTACAGGTTCGTAAGTGCTTGCGTAACTGCTTCGTGAATCTGGCCCCTGGTTAGTTAGAGACATTATGTGGTTGTCACTTTCATTCCATTTCATGTGTGTGTGAATTAGGGTATTTATTTGTTTTGGTCATGTTATTTTTATGCATTTTATGCATGATATTGACATGATGCAAATGTTATATTATTATAATATTGTCTATACAATAAGCTAATTTACACATACTGTATATAGTATTAATACTCAAAATGTGACTGAAACTGCAAAACAGAATTGAATATGCTGTAGTGAATGTGTACTGTACTTGAATTATTGCAAGGTTAACAAACAAGATGCATGGCAACTTAGTGCAACCTGCTTGCCTTTCATTTGTTTCCTGCTTTTCTGAACATAGTATCATAATAAATTAATAGAT